ATCAACTATTTCATGAGTCTCATCTGGGATCCATTCTCCCTCTTCAAGTTCATAAGCATCATCATTATCTGCACCTGGACAAAGCTACACCTGTTTTAAGTCTTGCAAGAACCATGTCAATATCTATCTAAAAGCTAACACAAAGATCTTTCACAAACCATCAGCTGGAGTATTTACATCTTCAACCCTTGTATCAGAAGCATCATCTATTGTTTTGTTGGAATAACCGGACAAATAAAGTTCAATAAGTGTGTCTTCTAGCCTATGAACAAGAAAAGAGACATCAATCAAAATTTGAAGGAAAATAAAGACACCAATCGAATTCAATTTTCAAATAAAAGAAATAACATAAGTATTTAGCAAAAAAAGTACCACTCAGAAGGTGGTGGTAGATTTTCAGGCAGATCTTCGGTTAAACAGTTCATATCAACTGCAAAAAATACCATATAATTGTTTACAATTTTAGTAATCCTGTTTATTATATTGATTAATTATGAAATTAACAACAAGATGAACACAAAAAGTGATATGTAGATATGTAAAATCACCTGTTGGTTCATTGGGGGTTGCTTCCTCTACTACATAACCTTCAAATTCACCATCTTCAAACTTAACATCATTTGTATTCGTATCGCAAGGTGCATTTTGGTAAGACTGTTCATGAACAGAATCATCACCAACAGTACCTATGCCTTGATTTGCATTTGAACTCACTTGGTCTGTTTCCCATGGCACATAACTCCCGTTTTCGAATTTGTAATACAGACCATCGTTGCTGCTATAATACCAGCCCACAGCTGGATCATGATAGAACCCACTACTGCAAGAAAACGAAAGAGTGTTTCGGTTTCCAATTCATAATATAGTAAAATGACAGGATATATGCGATTTTGAAGTTGAAATGAAATCCACTGATCGAAAATAGAAAACGTACAAATCATTAAATTGAAAAAAACCTAGCGCTTACGGCTTACTCATAATCATTAATCACCAAAATCAAGTTTAAAAAATATCAAATTCTGAATATTAAGATATACTTCAACATGAATGTATTTCACAACACAATCGAGTCAGCTAATCGATATCGACTGTAGTAAGACGTTCAGAAACTCTTGAAATCCTTGATGAAAAAGTAGAATTTCACAACAGTTGAAAACGAAAATTCCATGAACTCGTTTAGAACCTGGCATGGTAATACAGCTGTGACTGTTCGTCCCATTGAAAAGAATCTTCGTTTTCTTGAGAATTGAGTTCGTTGGTTCCCGCCATCTGTGATTCCCCTTTTCCTCTCCGCCATCCGCCGTCGCACTCGGAAAATTTTGGGTGGAGCTCAGCTCAGATCTCTGGGCTGCATATTTTGGTTGGCTAACATAAACATGGACCATCTAACATTCAAAAGGCCCAACACCCACTCCAGTTAAAATTCCAATTTTCAAGTTTCAACCCAAATATCAGGGATAGTAATATTGACTCGTACGATTAAATTAGAAGGTAAAAACTTTTGAAATGATTTTCGACAAGATAGATCATTAAGTACAGGTGACAACGTTAAGACCAATTAGATAAGATAGATCATTAAGTAGAGGTGACAACGTTAAACCCAATTAGATGGAAAATCCGTATATTACATAGATTTATTAAAAATAAAAAGTTTAATATCAATATGTAAACATTAAATATTTTATAAAATAAAAAAAAAAATCAATGAGTTTGTAATATTTATATGAAATTATTCTCAAATTAATAAAATGATAATTTTATATGAATAGAATAAAAACATTTCATATATATAACCGTAAATTCTGGAGTTCTAATGTAAGAATGAAAAACCTCCAAAAAATGATAAGTGAAAAAAAAATGAAAAAAAAAAATTTTGTAGCAAAATGAATGAAAAGAAGACATGCAGCAAAAGAAAATATTCATTTAGTAGAAAAAGATTTACCTATTAATGGATTGATTAGAATTGTATTTTTAAGTGTATTCATAAATTTAAAATAAGTATAATTTTTGATACAATCTTTGAGGGAGGTCCAAAAAAAAATTAAACAAACAAACATCATTAAAAAGAACTAAAAAAAATCAAATAATGTTGTCAAATATCAATAACACTAAAATTTCACCATCCCAGCCCTATAAAAACAAAAGAAATTAAAAATTTTCTTACATTTTATTTCTATTATCCTCCTACCCACATGAACTAAAATATCACCAATTTCATTAAATATTAATTAAATATAACACCTGTCAACATTTGATAAGTTAGAAAGATAAATAGGAATAAAATATAATAGAATATTTAATTTTTCTAAAACAAAGGACAAATGAGAGACCAGAAGTATGCTTTCAATAATGATCTCGGGCATAAAAAAATGTTATCAGATATTCGGTGTGCTAATCATATAACGACAGGTAAAAATTGATATTTTTAAGTAGATATTAGAATATTAGATAAATATAATCATTGTTTATAAAAGTGAACTTTTTTTTTTTTAATATTGTTAATGGAGTATCATGGAGATCATTTGCGTTTCTTACTTTTCATCTATGCTAATATATGCTGCGAATAGTAAAAGTTGTATTCGTTAATTATATATCTTATTTTCCAATACAGTTCAAGAGTTATTTGATAATAAGTTATTTCTCATAGTAAACATTAAACAATAAAAAGATAAATGACGATTGTTAAATGATAAGGTTAATTGTTAAGTAAAAAGTACTTTAATATTGACATTATTCTCTTAAAAAAAACATAATTGATATTTTGGTTTTTTTTATTTAAGAGTCTGTTAAAAAATAAAATTAACTTTTATCGTACCAAAAAACCAAAAATTTGAATGGTTCGGTTAAACTAATAACTAATATGGTTTTTTGTTTTATATATATATATATATATATATATATATATATATATATATATATATATATATATATATATATATATATATATATATATATATAAAACACCGTTAGGTTTCTTTTCAACATGTCAAATATATTTTAGCTTACCTGAAAGTAAATGGTTTAAAATTCGGAAAAAATAACTTTGTATGGAAATGAACTATGACTTTCACACATATTTAATTGCTTTCTTATTTTTTGTATATGATTTACCATTAAACTCACGTTATTTAGGAAATGCCATTTTGACAAGTTATTATAGGTCTAGTTGGTTTATATCTCAAAGAAAACTACTAAACTTCCATTTGTTATTCAAGAAACATCATAAAACTTACATTTTTTATACAATATACCATTTAAACTCACTTTTATATACATGTACTCACTTTCTTCTTTTCAAGCAATCAACAATTTTTTGGTAATATTCTCCTAACAAGACATTTCTAAAGAAAAAAAGATAACATCATTTTACATATTATTTTTTCAATAATATTCTCCGGTGAAAATTCCCCCACTTTTTTTTACTACCACCAACATCTTTCCGGCCACCACTTATGCATTTCTTTGCTCAGCTCCCTATCTTGATATATAGTGAAAATAACCCTATGTATGCATCCCTCTCTCACCTCTGCATTCTTGAACCATGCATCACTAGTTATCACCTTCGTTCTAGAATTTTAGATTAGTTTGATGGGTTGTTGGGGTGGCAAATGATGATGATCAAAGGTAAAATGATAGTTTTTAGACATCTCGTTTGAGTTTAATGGTAAATCATATATAAAAATAATCAAATATATACAAAAATAATAGTTCATTATCTGGAAAAAAAAAAGTTGTTTTACCTTTAAAAATTTGCCAAAAGTTTAACTGAATGTGTATAAGATAAAAGATCATTACTAGGGAAAAATAAATATACCCTAAAAGATATATAAGCTTAGGTATCAAAACCTATCAAACTATGTCATTTTTATATTATATATGTATTGTAATCATCCAAAGTTCTTAAAATTAAACTCATAACTTGATTTGCTTCTAAGATTTTTAGAAATTTCACTATTATCTTACTCTTATATCATATTTTTTCGTCGAATACCTAACGAGCTATATATATATATATATATATATATATATATATATATATATATATATATATATATATATATATATATATGATAGTTTCAAATGAAAATTATGTTAGAGGAAGATCATGGCGAAATTTCTAAAACTTTTGGAAGCAAATCAAGTTAGGAGTTGAATAATAAGAACTTTTGATGATTACAATGCATCTATAATGCAAAAAGGATGTAGTACTTTGAGTTTGGATACCTAACTTTTATAACTTCTAGGGTATATTCATTTTCCCTTATTACTATACTATATAGTTTCTTTAATTATATTTGATACATGATAATTTATAAAATTCGAAACATGGACAAAAATTATTAACAACTCAACCACAACTATATTAAATAAAAAAGAAATTAAATATTCTCCTACGTTTCTTCCTAATTATTTTCTTACCTATTTGAAAGGATGACAAGTGTATTAAAATATAATCAATATTATTCAAATATGACGCTTGTCATTATTTCACATGGGTAAGAATACAAGTAGGAGGAAATGATGAGAGGATATTTAATTTCTCTAAATAAAATATCCTTGATTTTGACCCCATAGTATCATTAACTTTTGGAATTTATGATAGAGAATACTATTTTGAAGGTAAATGATATGAGAAAATATTTATACTTCAATACGAGTATTATTTTTATGTGGGACAATATCCATAAGTTCAACACAAATAAAAAAAATTATCATTGACGATTTTCTTTTAAGTTTCAACAACTAAAGGTTAAAAATAATAGTTAAACATGTTAACGTAGTTTGATAAGAAATCAAAACATAATGTTAGTTCTTCTCGGTTACATGACTATAAAACTATTAAATTAGATATACATCAGAGTATAAGAAAGAAAGTAAGAGTTGGGACTCATTGCAATTGCACATATAAAACTGGACCACTTACGAACCTCGAGTTTGACTGTTTGAGTTTATCACAAGATTAAAGTTGGATGCAACAACTCTTTGTTTAATTGGGGTTTTCAATGCAGTCTTATTTCATATTCGCCGGCCATTGTTATATATCTCACCCATGGTAACGTCTGGTATCCACTTTTTTCAATAACTTTTAGGTGACGCACCTACAAACATTATCTATATTAATTAGTATCATATTAGGATTTGTTAGTAAGGTATTACTCAACTCAACCAACTGGTTTAGGGTTCAAGTCTCTCTTTTAGTGGGATATATATACCTGAATCCCGGATATTGTAAAATATGGTATTTCAAACTTGACACGAATAGGAGCTTTTCTTTCAGGAGTTGCATCTTCATAAGTTATACTCGGGAGTTTAAATTCGGCCCCCAACATATATTCCTGTCGTTGTTCATGCTAAAATGATGTTTACGAAAACAAGAAGAAACATTGGGTTGCATAAGGAGGACATCAATCCCAGTCTAATGCATGAAACACATCTTTCCCTATCCTCCACCTTTTTTAAGGTGGGTAAAAAAATTACAATTTTTGTCCCATTGACATTAATCCCAGTCTAATGCATGCCAATAGCAGTACAACCTATTATGTTATGTCATCTCTTATGTAACAGATGGAGTCTTGCAACAAATCAAGGTTCATAGATGGTGATAATTCATTCCTTAATTACCTTGTCACCTGGGAAGGTTCTGATTCTCCATATAAGTGAATCTTGTTCAGGAGCATATGAAGCGGACCCCATTGATGTCCGAACAATAGGTTTTGTAGCATCGGAAGGAACAGGTATTTCAATTTGGACATTTGTTGCATTGCTATAATCAAAATTATTATTTGAGTCAAAAAATTTTAAACCATGGATTCATTTTCATGGTATGGTATATATAACACATACCTTCGTTCCCTAAATTGGCTTCTAGCTTTTACATGCATCTCAATCCTACTTCTCGCATGTCTTTCAACTTGAGCCTCAACCCAAATCAGTGGTTTCACCTACCAACATATTGAGTGAAATTTAGAAGAAAAAAATCTAATTAATCATAAAAATAAAGCTAAAGATAACCTGAGTACTGAGCCTATATGTCATGAGATCAAATGATCCATCAGGAGGAATAAATGATATTGTGCGATCAGTTTCAAAGCGGGCTAAACGTACACACCTATAAATATATAGAATAATTATGTAATTATGATATTCTTTTAATAACATGCATATTGATAAAAAAGAGCATTAAAATTGCAAAAGCTTACTGATGAAATCTGATGTCTTCCAAATCAATGCCTTTTCCTTTTGTTGCTCTGCTTTGAGCATCCATTATAACTCTATCATTAAGCCCAAGCTTGCATTCAGGCATTCCACTATGAAAAACAACATTTTTTTTGTCAAAGTTAGGCTAAAAACTCAATTAAGAAGGTACATTTACAACCAGAATCCTTAAGTACCTTACACATGCTCTCATCTTCAATGCCCCAACAACTTCTGATCGAAGTATTTGCCTGTTACTATTGATTAATATGTTGAGACTTTCAATCACATCCAGGAACACCTGATAGAAAAAGGGAAAAAAAAAAGGAGATTGCAGTGTTGAACTAGTGATATCGATGGCATAAATTTATCATCATATCCAAATGAAAAGAGGGTCATACTTCATTCTTTTTGTAGTATATTCCTTCATTTCGCCAAGAGACTGCATTAGTAACAGCCATCGGAGGCCTTTGTGTAACTTCCAACTTATAAGCATCAGTCTTGATGAATTCACTTAGAATCATTGCTTCTGTATATTGTGGGTATCCAAAGTCCATCATTTCATCCAGTAATTCATACTGCGATATTTTTATAAGCAAGATCAACCTAAATGTGCAATAGATTAACGAAAATATTTAATCAATTGAAGTGAAGAAAAGAATTTGGTTCCTACCACTACAACAAAATTATCTCTAAGAGATTCCTCTTCCAACTCTCCAAAATAATACTCAAAAACCTGGATCATGTGATGAACTGTTAGTAATAATAGCATGATCATATTAACTGTAAAAGCAGAACTCATAGCTATAACTAAGAAGTAAGAAATAGTAAAGTGTACTCACACTAGCTAACCGGTGGAGAAATACAATAAGGCTAGCAACATTACAGTTTTGTCTGGATACAGCCATTAAGTAGACATTGTTGTGTTGAATAAATATATGAGAGACACCACTGTCAAACACTACTGGACCTTGAGACTCTATGTCCTCCTGATTAAAGATCATATGAAAAAAAATGTTGACAAATCGATATTAAGTTATATCACACAATATTGCCACATGTTCTAATAAGTAATAACTATGATGAAGTTTTCAACCAAGGACTACTTAATCTTTAATATATAATGATAGTACAATTGTATCACCAGAAATGTGAAAATCCAACCAATCTATGTTGCAATTAGAATCAATATTCACTTTGAAGATGTTTGGTTGCCAAAAAAAACCTAGAACTTCAAATTCTATTTTACGAGATAGAAATATATGCAAAATTAAAGGAACACATGCATTTGGATCAATGCTAATTTCATGGAGTACCTCATTCTCAAGGAGTTTGGTGAAAAACCTCTCGGCTTCAACAGATGAAATGTCACCGCGATAGTGACGACTAAGCAAGCAACGTCCCTTTATATCGAGAATGAAAATCGCGGAAACGGCTCCCGCCATTGGTCTGCATCAATCAAACCACAAGATAAATGAACAATGTGAAAATGATGAAGAATTTGAAGATTGGTGAAAATTAAGTTGAATCAAGAGTATTCTTACCAATGAATAAGTACAATTTACTGGAAGATCAATGCCAATAGTATAGAGCAAATTGTTTACAATGCAATTTTGAATTACAGATCACACGATCGCACTAACTTTGGGTTTTTTTATGATGGCAAAAGTTTGGAGACGAAGGTAACGGGTGGAGAACTCATGATTGGTTGTTACTTGTGTTGGTAAATTTCACGTTTCCCCCTCTATTTTTAATCAATTGTAACATTTATCACACATACATATGGATGTCCTACCATATTTATTAATAGAATACGTTATTAGAAAACAAATAGTTTTGTTTTTAAATAAGGTATTTGTTTGTAACGATTTTAAATACTAACTCTTATAATCCATTTAACATCATGAAGATGATTATTATTTAAAATTGTACTTAGATGAATAGGTTTGTAAGAATCTTTAAGATTTTACTTAGAATTATTAATAGATTCTTGGATTTGTTGTATTTTTAATAGAATATCTCTATTAGATATAATTCATTAATATTTTGTCAGACATAATGAAATAATTTAAGCATGAATTTTATTAGCTTGATTATTAAAAACGAGCACTATCTTCACAAAAATTTCAAATATTGTATAATTAATAGTTAAAATAACCCTAAATGAAATTATCATGGAGAAATAAATTTAATAACAAGAAATTGACTAAAATACTTTCAGATAGTGTATTTTTTATTAAGCTTGAATTACAGTCAGTACATACATTTGGAGAAATGATTATTTGAAAATCTAAAGACTTTGAACATCGACTCGTAGATATAGAAACTCTTGGGTTTTTTCTAGACATTAGATAAACATTTTAGAGGATGAATGTTTTTTTGAATGCCTATAACTAGAAACATTACATCTATTTATAGTAGTCTTGGAGTCTTGAAACCTGAAACCGAATGTGTATAAGTGGAATTAATCATTTCCCTTACCACACTTTGAATCACCTTTTGAAAAGCTTTTTTGTCGTATGCAATCAACAACAAGCTTCCTTTTGATAATATGTCGTTTTGTAATTATCAAATATTGTCCAAAATTGTTTGTCTTCTCATCATAATTGATTAGTATGAATAATGTTCCTGCAGTTTTCTTGATAATTAAATTTTTGATAATAGATATTTTTACACAGTCTATTTACACGGTGTATACTCACACAGTGTATAATCACACACACACATATTTGAAAATTACATTTTTCATAAAGAAATGAAATACCTTATTTTAAAGGTATATCACTAAATTTAAATTAATTGTTTATTCTTCATAAGGATCATCAAAAGGGTCTTGAGCATCTTGAAATAATTCATTCTTTACAGATTTTTGAGAATTGTCAGAAACTGATGGAGTTTGGCGAATTTCTTGAAGTAGCTTTTGCAGTTCTAAGGGAAGAACTAGCAGCCTCTTTAATTTTGGAAATTAGATCGACATCATTTTGAGGAAGACTATTGATAAATGTGGCTTCAACCTTTGGTTTTTGAATATATGTTTCTTGGTAATGTTGAATTACTGTTTGTTCATTAGCTTGAGAAATCTTTATTTTATCTCACCATTTAAGGGAAATTGGTGGTTAAGCCATGGAAGAGAGGAATCTTTTGCTTCTTGATAATGAGAAGTCTAATACATGATCCATGGAACTTTGAATAACATGGTGAATTATAACATATATTTAAGTTCTAGAATTTGTTGAATGAAAAATTCCATAAATTTGAGATATCCAACATAAATTTCTTTTGGTAAACAATTTGGAAGACTTCTTATATATTTATACCAATTGAAAAATCATTTTGGATATTCACAGTTGAAGTTTATATCAAAGAAGATAATCCATGAGTGTGAATAACTCTGAATAAATAATGCCTTAGTCTAGGCATCTTGATAATCTTAATAAGAAAATCTAGGATAAGCATGATAACTTATAAGATGTTTTTCATAGTGAAGATTTGGAGCCCAATTTTCAGAAGAAATGATTTTGATAATATGAGCTTTGGTAAATTCAATGTTTCATTCTTTTAAATTAGAACGATGAACAAATTTGACTGAACCAAATTCTTGCAGAATAGCTTTATAATATTCCTGAGTTTTATCCGAATCAACATAAAAGGTTTTTCCTTAACCAAAGAGATGATTTGTGTGAATATGAAAACCTTGATGCAACTTATGGATTTAAAAATCTTCAAGAATTTGGACTCTTAAGAAATTTGGATTGAGGATATAGGGAGTTTTAGGTGAGTTTTAGTAGTAGGGATTTAAAATTCTTTTACTAAAATTAGGTGAGTTTTATAACAATAATCTTGATCATTACAAATATGAACATCCGAAACTTTATAATTAAAAATTAATTTTGTACTTCCGGCACCAGTAAGTCTGGATGCAGTTTTTTCATAAAATTATGCAGGGAAAACCCCTTCTTTATTACAGTTCATATCAGCGCCACTATCAATTAAGGCAGCTGTGTTGATTTTAAAATTATTTTTGACTATAGTAATATGAGTGTTCCATTTTTCAGAAACTTGATTATTTATAAGTTTATCAATACTTACCTTTTCAATTTTATTTTCTTCTTCGTTTTTAATTTCTATATTTTTAGCTTTAAAAGTATAATTTTTTTCTTTTTCTAAAATACAAAATTTATTTTTTTTCTTTTATTTCTTGTTTTACTATTTTTATTTCTTTTTGGAGCTCTTGCATAGAAATTGGTTTTGCTTCAGAAAAGCTTTCATAAATTTTTTTTAAATTTAAATTTTCATTATTAGGAGGAGTTATGTTGTTAGTTTTATTTAGCATATGTTTTATTAATAATTATTGAGTATTTTTATCTTTTATAGAATCTAAAGAGCTTAAAAGATCTTTATCATCTTGTGAAAGAACATTAATAGAGCTATTAGTAATAACATTGATTAAATTATTACAATAACATTTACCAATACATTCACATGTATCAGAATCTTTTGAACTTGAAGCAGTATGTTTGAGAATATGTAAATCATTTGTTTGAAAATCAAAAATACTTTCATTGGAAACTGAATTAATATTCAAAATAATTTTTCTTATTTGTTATTTTAAATATTCAGCAACATTTAACTCATTTATTTTTGTTTTAGCATAACAATTATTAGTTGTGTGACCATTGCGTCCACATTTATGACAAATAATAATATCTTTCAATTTTCTTTTAGATTTTTTATAAACTGGTTTATAAGATATTTTGGATTTTGAAGAGTAATCTTTTTCTTTTTCTATAACTTTCTGGAATACTGTATTTTTTTCTTGAAATATTTTGAAGATTATTTACCTTTAGATCTTGAAGTAGACGAACCGTTTAAGGGTAATAATCATATTGTTGACAAAAAATTTCTAATTCGTTTTTACCATTGATTTTATATTTTTCTGAGTTTTTCTTTAAACTCAAGATCAACACAAACTGCTAACCCATCTTTATTAATATAGTTTATTAAATATCCATAAGTTAAATTTTGATAAGAAAATTTATTATTAAAGATTTCTCTTAATTTTTGTCTAACTTTTTCTACAAAGAGTTTTGAAAGACCAGCAATAAAACATTCTCCCTAATAAGACTCTTTACAATCAGGTATCAAAAAAACTTTAACAATATAATTATTTTTATACCATCTAAAATCAGTAAGTTTCTGCAATGTAAATTCATTAGAATTTCTGAAGTTTTTTGTTAAAAAGTAGTAGGATCTCCTACAAACTTTTTGATAATAGTAAAAATTAAAGTGTTGACAATATCATCTTCAAATGTTTGTATTTGTTGATTATTTTTTTATTTTATAATGGTTTTCTTAGCAGTTAAAATATTAGTTTTCTCTTCTTCAGAAATATAGAAATTTCACGAGCCTTTAAGACTGCTAGTAAAATCAGAAGTAATATTATTAACAATTTAAAGTTGAGTATTATTATGAGCTTTATAAGCATTAGCTGTCATAGTCATTTCTTATACAATATTCATAATTTGATGTTTAAAATGACCATCAATATTTTATTCATAAACAAAATTATCATCGTAATGAGAACGGTCAAATTGAAAAATTTGTTCTTCGGTTTGAACATCGGGAAAAAAGGGTCTATTCCAATAATTTATGAATGTAATATTTTTATTATCAATGTATTTCCGCAACACATTAAGTTATGAAATTCTATTTCACTTACTTTTTTTGTTTTGCAACAAATTATAGTTTTTGAAAAAAAGAAGGTTTTAACAACCTGTTATTTTGTCTCGGTTTTATAAACCTTTCAAAGTATAATGCTTTAATTGGAAAGCGGTAAAGGTACAATATGCCCAAAAAAAAAATACCCAAGGCGAAGCCCAAACTAGTGTTGGTGATTTGTTATCATCAATGTTATTTAAGTGTAATGAGATTACTTTGTTGACCAAAAGTGATATTGATAAATATTAAACAAGTAAGGAAGGTGTGGAGTATACACTTGTTTAAGTTTAATCAAGTATCAAAGTACACTGTCATTTAGGGGCGAAGCCTCAGAACGAATGGGGGTCCGGGGGCAGCGCCCCTGGGAGCGGGGTCCAAGGGGTAGACCCCTGACTGGGATCAAAAAATTTTATATAGGTTATGTAACTTTATAAAAAAATACATTAAAAACCCGGTTTTTAAATAATTGACCCAATTTTGACTTTTATTCAATTGACCCGTTTTATGACCGTTTTGGTGGTTTTGTGACAGTTTTAAACTGTCATATGACAGTTTTCAGACAAAGATCTAAATTCAGTTTTGGTCTCATTTCTGGTACTCACGAAATCATATCCTCTTATTCTCTTTATTTTCTCTCTGATTTAATCTGAGTCTTATCCAATTGAGGATTTGAGACTATCATCCAAATACTTCGATTAGAAAGTGATTATCACGATTCTCAGATTTT